GACTCCGACCCAGCCCCATCCTTATCTCCTGCCAGAGCCTCTCTGAGCCTCAGTGTTTCCTTCTGTAAAATGGGGCCAAGGGAGGGGGGCTGGAGCGATAGCACAGCGGGTAGGGTGTTTGCCTTGCACGCGGCCAACCCGGGTTCGATTCCCAGCATCCCATAGGGTCCCCTGAGCACCACTAGGGGTAATTCCTGAGTGCAGACCCAGGAGGAACCCCTGTGCATCGCCAGGTGTGAACCAGTAAACAACAAAAAAAATGGGGCCAAGGCACCAACCGCTCAGAACTGGCACGGGACCCAAACCGGACCACCTCCCGGACAACACCCCCCCCCCCCCACCAGAGTGTTCTCCCAGAAACTTGCGTGACCCAGATGTAGTCTCCACGTGACCGGATGCGTTCACTCCCTCCCTGTTCCTCCCCCCCAGGTGATGCTGGAATCCTCCGTGTACCTTTCCCTGGCGGTTTACAGTGGCTGCTGCCTGCTGGCTGCCGTGGCCTCCTGCTTACTGCCCATCGAGACAAAAGGCCGTGGACTACAGGAGTCCAGCCACCGGGAGTGGGGCCAGGAGATGGTGGGCCGAGGGACGCACAGCCCGGGCGTCATCAGGTCGAACTCTGGCTCGCAAGAATAGTGACCGGGGGAGCGTGGGGGGTTGGGCTGGTCTTGGAGGCTGGAGTGTGCCAGGGAGCTGGTGGAACCCAGCCGGGCATCACTGCCGACACCTAGAACTCATCCACGAGCATCATCCGGACCAACATGGTCTCCTGTCCTGACTTTGCTCGTTGTCCCGCAGCTCCGCCCCAGGGAGGGGTCTCGGTCTGTGTGGGGGTGGGGGGGAGGTGGACAAGTAACCCGGGAATTGCATGGGCGTGCGGGCTCCCGGAGGAGTCAGTGCCCGGCGCCCGGCAGCCCGCAGGACGCAGCCAGCCACCCGGAGACCTCTGGAGCTTGGGCGTGAGCCCTGGTGGCCCCCAGACCTCCCCCCAGCCCCCACCCCCACCCCTGCTGTCCTGCAGACCCCTTGGAACCTGCGTGGGGCCCCAGCGACGTTCTCCAGCGCTCCCTCCCCTGCAGGGACACTTGTTTCCCTGAGCCATGGCAGAGGGACGGGCGTTTGCACTCGAGCCATGGGCCCCCAAGCAGGCCCCTAGCAGGCCCCAAGCAGGCGCCATTCCCCGGATCTCGGTGTGGCCTTGGGTGCAGTGAGGCGGGCGTGAAGGCAGCCTAGACGCCCGGGCACTGGGGAGTGAGTCTGAAGGGGGGTGAGACACTCGCCTAAGGTGACAGCCAGGGTGTCCCCTCCGCTCAGAAGCACGAATCCCAGTGACTGGGCGTCTTCTCTGCCCCCCTGTCCCCTCCCCCACACACACACACTTCCGTCACACCCATCGGTGACTCGGAGCAAGGGAAACAGCTCACTTGGCTTCAGCACTTTGGGTCTTGCGTGTCTGTTATGGGGCCATGGACAGAGAAGCCTTCAAGGTGCCCACAAACCACCCACTCCCAAGTGGGCCGGGGCCGCGGGTCCTTCTGCCCCGCTTCCTGTGCCCGGCTTCCCAGCAGGAATTTGAGGGAGCTGGACACAGGTGGTTCCTGGGGTTCCAGCAGCGCCCCCACCTCCTGCATCAATGCCCCCCCAGGATGGGGGGAGGGGAGGCCCCAGTGGGTGTGGACTGTGTCCATCTTCAAAGGAAGACAGCCCAGGGGGGTGCGTGGAGTTTGGGGGTCAGCCTCGGGAGGAAGGGTGAGCACCGGTTAGCGCACATCCCCGCTTCCACGAGCCCTGTCCTGCCCACCAAGGCAGGGAATGCAGAGAAGAAAGGAAAGAGGCCGGGGGACCCCATCACGGAGAGAGAAGACAGACCCTCAACTCCACGGGGTCTGCGGGAATAAACGCGGCGAGGAATCCGAGAGTGGCCGTGCGTCTCTGGTTAAACGCGTTGGCCAGGTGGAAGCTTGTTACTGCCTCATGAAGCACCGGGGCAGTTCGGCGCCAGACCCTGCCGCCTCCATCCGTCTGGAGGACCCCACGCCATCCATGCCCCCTCCCCCGGTCCCAGCGTGCTATCCTCACTGGATCATCTTCCCAAAGAAGCAACGACATCTTTAGAGTTTCTTTTATTGGGGGTTGCCACGCCCAGTAGCGTTCAGAGCCCACCTGTCCTCCGAGCCACCTCCCAGCCCCACTGGGTGGCCCCGACGGGCAGCTTTGTCATGGCTCAAGCCTTAGGACTACTGTGGACAAGCCCTGGTGTGGGGTCCACGGTACCTGGGGAAGTGTGACAGGTCTGCTTCTCCCCGACACCCACGTTCCCTTGAGCCCTGCCTGAGTCGCCGAAGCACTGGTGATTTCCGGTTTGCTGAGCTCTCCTGGATGACGGAACCTTTGCTGACTTACACTTCCCAGCTGGCCAGATGTGGTCACACAGGCTTCCCCAGCCCCATCTGTGACCAGGAGGCTTTGGCCATTGGGAATGGTTTCCCTGGGTGCGGGTGAGGGTGCAGCTATGGGCTTTGTCTTTTTTTTCTTTTTCCTTTTTTTTCTTTTTTTCTTTTTGGGTCACACCCAGCAAGGTTCAGGGCTTACTCCCGCCTCTGCACTCAGGAATGACTCCTGGCGGTGCTCAGGGGACCATATGGGATGCTGGGAATCGAACCTGGGTCGGCTGCATGTAAGGCAAACCCCCTACCTGCCATGCTACCGCTCCATCCCCAGGCTTTTTCTTTTAAAGGAAATGGAAGTGAAAAGCTCTTTACCTCCCAATTACCTGCCCTTTAGAAAAGAACCCATGTGAGCGAATGATGCAAGAGGAAGGCTCTGAGATACCAGGGGCCTTGAAGCTGGAGTCATTTATGGCTCATTCTGGACCATCTGCAAACTCCTGTTTCCATTAATGAGATGGGCGTTCAATTCTCTGTCACAGGAATGACTTCAGAAGGTGTGAAAAAACATTAATCAGAGTTATAACATTTCTCTCTCTCTGATTATTCTTCGCAATACAGAGGACATCCATTGACAGTGAAGTGAAAGAGCACTTTAGGGGCTGACTTAGAACTGAATATGGATGTTCATTATTTAAGGAATAATGTTCAGTCACAGCCCAACTAATTGAGACCAGTATCTCTCTCCCCTACCCTTGGTTCTTAACAAGTCTCCGAGGACCGGGAAACCTTGTGCTGTGAGCTGCAGCAGAACCGTCCCACGGTAGCATAGACCAGGAGCATATTGGCTGCTCATTTAACAAGACCAGAGTAGGCAGTTCCAGGGACAGTTTAGCGTTTAACAGCAGCACAGTGACATCATCCAGAATACAACCCCTTTCCACCCCACCCCCATCCCCACGCTCTGTCACTCCTCTGCGTGTTGGCCTTTGGACTCTGCGTGTGAAACCTCAGGAACCCAACATGGCTGCCAGCGTGCCACCATCATGTTTCTCTTCAAAGGGGGCAGAATGGGAGGAGGAAGGGCTCCGAGAGGTTTTCGTTCAAAAGGGCCTCTCTGGCATTGGAAAAGGATGCCCTTGGGCAGGTTCACCGTTGCTTTGCATTGGTCAGGCCTGGGTCATACACCGTCCCAGGATGGACTGTCCATTAAGGATGGAGAAGAAACCACCTATGTCCAGTGGGATGGAGAAATACCCGCAGCCTCTTGACCACAAAACAGGACTTTGTCTGCATGAACGTGGGAAGGTGATGGCTGTTGGCTGGGAATGGGCTGGGAGGAGTCTGTCCACTGGCATCTCATCAGGTCTGTCCATTAACAAGGAGAAAGCTGCTTGTTTCTGGGCCACCCCTGGCAGTACTGAGGGACCCCTCCTGGAGGTGCTGAGGGACCTACCCAGAGTTGGCCACATGCAAGGCCAGTGTCCTCACCCTGGCACTATCTCTCCAGCCCCTGTCACTGTCACTGTCCTCCCGTTGTTCATCAATTTGCTCGAGCGGGCCCAGTGACGTCTCCATTGTGAGACTTCTTGTTACTGTGTTTGGCACATCAAATACATCGCGGGTAGCTTGCCAGGCTCTGCCGTGCGGGCGAGATACCCTCGGTAGCTTGCCGGGCTCTCTGAGAAGGGCGGAGGAATTGAACTCGGGTCGGCCATGTTCGCTGCATGCAAGGCAAATGCCCTACCGCTGTGCTATCGCTCCAGCCCATCTCTCCAGTCGCAGGGGAAGAAATTACATGTAGGGGCTGGAGAGAGTACAGCGGGTAGAGCATTGGCCTGGCACGCAGCCGACCCGGGTTTGATCCCTGGCATCCCATACGGGCTGAGCACTGCCAGGAGTAGTTCCTGAGTGCAGGGCCAGGAGAAACCCCTGAGCATCCCTGGGTGTAACTCCCCCCAAAAAATTACACATAGGTTAATCCAGATAAAGAAGTCCGACTTTATTGGGCAACAGAAATCAGTTAATGTTCTACAGGCTACAGGGAGGGAAAATGAGTGACCGGAGAAGGTGGGAGGAAAGTGGGAGATGAGAGGGCCAGAGAGAACCACAGCTCCTGGCCACCACTCAGCCCCCTGGTTCTGTTATGCCGGGGGTGGGGCTGGGCATCTCCCAATCTTTAAGAGCCTCTTTTTTTGGGGGTGGGAGGGTGAGGGGGGGCTAGGTCACACCCAGCTGTGCTCAGGTCTTACTCCTGGTTCTGTGCTCAGGGATCCTTCCTGGCAGTGTTCAGGGGACACATATGGTGCAGGGGATGGAATTGGTAGAGCCACGTATCCGGCAAGTCCCTCCCCCAGTGTACAGTCTCTCTCCAACCCTGCATCAAGACTTTTGAAACAAAGTGGGGGCGGGCTAATCTGTTTCATCGGAACTGCAAATCTGGTCGATTCGCTTCCAAGTCGCAGCCTCATCAAGGTCAGATCTCAAACAAATAAGGGGGGGGGGGAGCATCAGATGTTGCTCATTCAGTCCCATGCTGCTTCTGCCTTCTCCACACTTCTGATCTCCTTCAACCTGCCCCTCCGGACAGTGCTCCCTCCACTGCTGATGAGCTGAGCACTTCCCCCTGCAAGTCTCCAGAGCCAGACTGGCCACAGAGGGTATAGGAACATCCGCTTAGTGTTGTAGCTAGCTGCAGGCCTTCTCAGAGCCTTTCCCATGCTCCTGTGACCTGTTACTAAGCTCCTCCGCCTCCACCAGCCTCACTTTTCCATGCACCCCTTTGGGTTTTTCTGAGCTTTCCTTTCACTGAACTCTTGGACATGGCGGTTCCACCCCTTAACCCCCCCAACCCCAGTTCATGAGGCCAGTTCAGAGAGCAGAAAGAAAGGTCCGGGATGGTGGGGGGCGGGGGTAAGTCACGGGTGGGTCTGGATCTGCCTGGAGGACTTGGTGGTGTGGTTCCCCTTGCCTGGTCCTCCTGGGGAGTGAGCGGGGTGAGGGGTGGGCAGTGAGCGATGGCTACGGAAGAGGACCCGCATTCGCTGGCCAGGGGCAGTGCGGTGGCTGTGGTGGGGCTGGGGTCCCTGCGGCTTCAGAGGTGGGACAGGGGCCTCTGGAGCAGCTTCCTCTCCTCCAGGACCTGCCCCAGGAGCCCGGCCGCCTGCAGGGCGCAGCCCCAGTGGATGGTGAGTCCGTAGCCCCCGTGGCCGTAGTTGTGGATGACCTAGAAGAGGCCGAGGAGAAGGACCTGGCTGGCCTGGGCTTCGGAAGCTTCCTCAGAGCCTCAGTCGCTGCCTCTACCAGGACAGTGGGACTCTGGGGTTTGGGTGACCTGGAGGTGACACCCTTGATTCCCGCAGGTGGCTCTCCCCACCCATGCCTGCATCAACGTGGTGGGAAATCTTGAAATCGCCCCCCGCCCCCTTCCCTGCCCTGCGGGCAGGAGCTCCTCTTCACAGACTCCTGACTTCCGTGGGAACGGGTGGGCGGCTGCACCCCAAGAATGAGGCGAGACCCTGAGCCCATCTCAGAGCTAAAACCACCTGCAGGCACTGACACCTCATACACGGCTCTCCTCTTTGCATGCGTGCAAACACACGTTCTCTGCACACAGACATACACCGTCCTCTGTCACACACCACATGCACACTGCCCTTCCACGCACGGCCTCTCCTCACACAAACCTTCTCCACACACATACGTTCATAGAGACACAAGCTTTGTACTTGGACACACACGTGAAACCTCTTTTCACACAAGCACACTCTGTATCCGCGTCAAACGCATACACGCACAATACTCTGCGAGTCACACAGCTTTTCTACGTACACACACGTGTACACACACGGTTCACACAGGAGTGGGCAGGAGCAGCAGGGCTGCCATTGTGCTGGGAACGCACCTCTACGTGTGTGGGTCCAAAGCGAAGCTTCTCTCTTTCCAGCCGAACCTGGGGACGTACTGGCCGGAAGCCAGTCCATTCACCAACAAACTTGGCACCCTGGAAAGGGGAATGTTTCGAATTCATCCCTGGACATGCCCCCACTGCCATGGGGAGGCGAGAGGAAGCTGGCTTTGGGGAGTTATGGGCATCACCATTCCCACCCCGCCCCTAGGCCCTACATTCTTAGTCCCCCCCACCACACCCCACTTCTATCAACTACCCCATCTTCATCAACCACCGCCCAAAGTGACCATGATATTTTCAATTTATCACTGCATCACCAAGGAATCCGCTATTCCTCCCAGCCCACTCACGTCTCCATCACTTTGTGGTCCCGCCAGCAGGCAAAGATGATAATGGAGATTTCTCTTTTGTTTTTTGGGGGGGAGGGTGGAGTTGGTGGTTCTCAGGGTTCATTCCTGGCTCTGTGCTCAGGATCACTTCCGGTGGGGCTCAGGGGACCACATGAGATGCTGGGGATCAAACCTGGGCTGGGCACATTGCAAGGCAAGTGCCCTACCCACTGTCCCTTTGGCCCAAGAATGGGGATTTCTGCAACAAGCCTGTCTGCTTCCCTGCATTTGGGGGGTGGGGGTGGATACGGGTGTCATCACTGCAAGCGAGAGCAACTCGAGGCTGTGGCAAGGCTGTGCCCGTCCTCAGAGGTCTCCCCTCTCATCACCAAACTCTAGCCACAGCCACGCTGAGATCCGTTTGCCCACTTGCCCCGGTGGGTCCTGATGTGTTTTCCCATTCCCGAGAGTCCTGGGGACCAGGCTGCCAGGACCTCGAGGTGGGGCGTGGACACCCCAATGCACGTTACCTTCAGGGAGGGCAGTAGCCTGCAGCAGCCGTCCCAGATGGTGCTGTGGTCCTTGATACTGTTCACCTCGCTCCAGTTCCCTGCCTGGAAGATGCCCCCGAGGGTCACTGTCTGCATCCTAGATAAAGGAGAGGGTGGGGGGTGACAGGAAAACAAGGCTTTGGGATTCGGGGGGGTCCTCACCACGAGCATCCTTACGACCGCATCGACACAAATCCCGACTTTCCTCGGCGTGCCACTCCCGCTCACTATTCTGTCACCCCCTGTCCCACTGCCCTGTCACTGCGGCCAGTGCCGACCACCATCTCTGCTCCCGTGAGCTTCGCCCTGACCACTGGTCAGTGTCTGGAGTATGAATCTCAGTATCATCCACGTGAAGGTCACTAAGAACAGAGATGAAGTGTTGTCATCATCAGTCCACAACTTGTAAGTACGTGAAGTGAGAGATGGGTCCCCAAGCCTTATTGTCATCGCAGTATCTGCACCTAGTGACGCATCACATCGGACATCTTAAATGGACACAATATTATGTGCCAGTGAGATCCTGGTGAGGCCTGAAAACTCTTGCCTCCTGCCCTCCCCACTGCCATTAATAAACCAGCTCCTCCAACCCATCCCCTCTTCTTCCGTCACCACTAACATGGCCACTGACACGGTCATCTTCCACCTCCCTGATGCCACCCTCAAGACAGTCCACAGTCACACCCCTGATCTTGCCCTTGATTTTAGGTGTTTGGATTTTTTTTTAATTTTGTATTTATTTTTTTGCTTTTTGGGTCATATCCAGCGATGCTCAGGGGTTGCTCCTGGCTCTGCACTCACGAATCACTCCTGGCAGTGCTCAGGGGACCCTATGGGATGCTGGGAATCGAACCTGCGTCAGCCGCGTGCAAAGCCAATGCCCTCCCCGCTGTGCTATCGCTCCGGCCCCGCCTGACCTTTCCCTTGAGACCCCCATCTCCGCCACCCTCGTAATGTCATCGGGGAACACGAGAGTGGCCTTACCACCACCCCAATCACTACCTCTCCTCCCAGAACCCACCCTCAGCAGCCTCATTCTCCTACTCACTGCACCCCCAGGCCTGTCACCACCCCGTCACCCTTAACCTAACGGCCCCCCATCAACACTGTCTTCCCCGTCCCCAGCAACACTATTTCTATTATAACCATCCCCTCCAGACCATCATCCTAGCCCCATCTTCACCCACATTATCCCCACTGATGTCATCCTCACACGAAGCCCCTCCACTGTGCCCAGCCCCCACTCCCGTGAGCGCTGCTCATGCCTCGTGCTGCCATCACAGCCACCACCGTGTCATCTCCAACGTCACCCAAATGGTTCGAGACACAATTAGTCAATGCTAAGTTCTTCCTTCCCAGAGACTTCATGACTCAATTTCTCTTTAAAAAAAAAAAAAAAGTTGGCAGGGGGCTGGAGCGATAGCACAGCGGGGAGGGCGTTTGCCTTGCAAGCGGCCGACCCAGGTTCGATTCCCAGCATCCCATGAGGTCCCCTGAGCACCCCCAGGGGTAATTCCTGAGTGCAGAGCCAGGAGAAACCCCTGTGCATCACCAGGTGTGACCCAAAAAAGGAGGGGAAAAAAAGCTGGCAGAGGATGGGAAGGGAGTATAGGAGACAGGGCGATGTATTGGACTCCTGGCAGCACAGAGGATCCCCAAGCACCTCCAGGAGTGAGCCCTGAGCATGGAGCCTGAGCACCACTGGAGGGACCCACAAACTCAAAAACTGGAAGGGAAAACCCTTGCTGACAGGTCAAAGGGTGGGGGCAGCTGGATGCCTCCTCTTCTGTCCTGGCCTGTGCGATGTTTACCCCGGTATGATGTACGGGCACTGGTAGATGCCTTTCTCCGGGTCGTGAGTCATGATGAAGTGCTTCACCCATGGGGCATCTACCTGTTGAGTGAGGATGAAGAAACGCATCAGGGCGCTGGGTCAGAGGGCCCCCGGCCCTGCCACCCTCTGGCACAAGAGTAGCGAGGCTGGGCCAGAGGGCGAGAGTACAAAGGGTAAGGCGCTTGCATGTTTGATCCTGGCACCACATACAGTCCCCTGGGCACCACCAGATGTCACCCAACACCTCCCCTCCCCCACTACAAAAAAAAAAAGAATGATCAGGCAGATTCCTTAGCCCTCCGGGACACCCCAAGTCGGCACCTGGCTGCTTGCTCTGACAGGAAGAGCTTCCCTGATTGCAATCCCCAATCCTGCTCCCCGAAGTTGCACCCACTCCTGCTTGACGCCGCCCAGCACAGGTATAAGTGCACAGCCACGGTGGTACTCACACACATGCACACACACACACAGCCCTCCCACACAAGCACCTGAGTACAGAGAGGCGCAGCACGAGGTTAAAGCCAGATGGTCTGGCTTGCAACCCAAACCCCACCTCTCCCTGCTGCATGAACTCAGGCTTGTTGGATGACTACCCCACCCAGGCCTCAGTTTCCCCATCTGTGAGACGGCAACAGTGGTGGGGCTGGGGAGATGACTCAAAGGTCAGGAGTACATGTTCAGCACCCAGGAGCCCGGGTTTGAACTCTGACAATGCATGGCTGCCCTGAGCGCTCACGCGCGCGCACACACACACACACACACACACACACACACACACACACACAGAAAGAGAAAGCAGTGAAGGGAGAGACACAATAAAGGTTGAGGATGAGGCACTTTTCTGGCATATGGCTGTGACCACAGCTCTGATTTGAAACCTGGCACTGCAGGTGGGCTCCAGAGCACAGAGCCAGCTACAGACCGTGAACACCTGGGCTTGGGGCCCCAAAGGCGGGGGGAAAAGATGACAATGGAGATATGGTACATCTCCGTCATCTAAAGGGTAGTGGTCCAGTCAAGTTAATTAATACACTGAAAATCAGGCTAATTAGTACAACAAAATGCTTGGGCCAGTGTCTGGCCCTTGGCAGATACTCCAGAAGTTTGCTGTTTCTATTATTATTATACATGCACACGCAGGCTTTGCTATTAAGTAGAAACAACCAAATGAAAAACAAACCAGAATGTTTGGGAGGGTTGTCTTAGTCTTTTTAAAGACATGCCAGGTTGGGGCTGGAGCGATAGCACAGTGAGTAGGACATTTGCCTTGCACGCGGCCGACCCAGGTTCGATTCCCAGCATCCCGTATGGTCCCCTGAGCACCGCCGGGAGTAATTCCTGAGTGCGTGAGCCAGGAGGAACCCCTGTGCATCGCGGGGTGTGACCCCCCCCAAAAAAATACGCCAGTTCCCTGAAGTCTGGAAGCTGGAGCCATGGTACCACAGATCAAGTGTTTGCGTTGCACACAGCCAAGCTGGGTTCCATCTTCAGCACCCCAAATGGTCTCTTGAGGCCCGCCAGGCGTGATCCCTGAGCACAGAGCCAAGGGTAAACCCTGGGCACTGTGGATGTGGCCCCAAAATACAACAAAAACCCCTAAACTCTGGGGATTGGCAGGGAGCCGGGAGGCGCCCTCTAGCGGTGGAGACGGAAGACGCGCCCCTCCCGCCTTCTGCTCACCCTGATGATCTGGCCCCGGCCGGGCTGCAGGAGGGGGTCGGGCTGCAGCGCCCCGGACCACACCCCAGTGCAGTTGATAATCACATCAGCACCTCCGCTGGCCACCTGGCAGCAACGAACAGGGTAGGGGTGAGAGGGGGTAGCGACTAGGCATCCCCTGCCCCCCTCCCTCCCCGCACCCCTGCCCCTGGGGTCTGGGCCCTCTTGTGAGCAGAGGGGAAAGGCATTGGGGACCCGGCCTCCAAACCTCCCTGCTGTGTTTCCCAGGCAACGGGCTGGGCTGGGCAAGGTCCATCTCCTCCTCACTTGCTCGGCTAACTGGGGGTATAAAATGGGCCAGACAGTTCCTGCTTGCAGGACAGACTAAGGGACCCAACATGCCTGGATACTCGAGTGCTTGAAAAAAAGTAACTGTGGACGGACAGGGCAATACTACAGCGTGGAGGGCATTTGTCTTGCGAGTGGCCCACCTGGGTTTGATCCCCGGCATCCCATAAGGTCCCCCAAGCACCCCCAGGAGTGATCCCTGAGTGCAGAGCCAGGAGGAACCCCTGAGCATCATCAAGGGTGACCCAACATCCCTTTTCCACCCAGAAAAAAAAGCAGCAAGTGTGGAAGTGGGGGGCCTTCCTGCACCCTTCTCAGAGGGAGGCAGTATGAGTCGCCTTCTTCCTTCAGACTCCACCTTACTCCATCCTCTTGCCTTCTGCCCAGCGGAGACAGCTGCAGGAGGGGAGCCCCGAGTTTCGTGCCTCTGTGGGATGCTCCAAAGCTCAAAGGATGTGGCTTCACGGGCACCCACGCTCCCAGGCCAGCCCCAGTGGCTCCCCCTACGGGTCAGTCAGTCCTGGGCCATGCTCGCAGGGCGTGTCATGCGCTGTCATCCCTCCCGGCCAGTGTTTGCGCTGCAGGACTCTGAGCGCCTTGGGCAGGGGCAGAGGGAGCCAAGGACTCAGCTCTACGAGTCAACTTTGTATTCCGAGTGTCCTTCAGGGATCGAGAGGGTGAAGGCGCTTGCCTTGCATGTGCAGTCATGTACATGTGCCACCGGTGTGGTGCCCCCCCAAAAACCCCCACGTATGCAGCAGGACCCAAGCGAGAGAGCCTTGTCGGATCCTCCACGAGCAGCCAAGCTGTGGGTGTTGAGATGGAGGGAAGCCGTCCGGCAGCGCTCTCGGCACTTGGCAGGGATAAGGGTGCGTCTGCCTCCTTACTGCTGTTACTGCTGTTACTACGGAGACTCAGCAGAGAGCCAGGACTTTGCAGCAACTTCAATCCAGGCGGCAGGAGAGAGTAACCCGGTGTCCGGAACTGGGGGCTGGAGCGTAACCGGCAACCTGACCCTGACACTCTGGTCCTACTGCCCCGCCCTCTGCCACCAACATCACAGCAGAGCCCAGAGTCTGGGAGAGGCCTCAGGGGATCCTGGTAGGTGGAGAAGGGGGAGGCCTCCCTCCACAACAGGAAGCATCCCCCTCTTTCCCTCTCTCCCCCACCAATCCCCTTCCCAACTCACCTCCTCAAAAGATTCCACCTTCCTCTGGAAGAATTTCACTCCCCTCTCAGTTAACCTGGGATAGCAGACACATCAAAAGCCCAGAATTCCGTTTTCTATCCCATTTCCCACCCCCAGGAAGACAGCATGGGGTGGGGTGGGGGGGGGATGTGATTTCTCAAAGAAATTTCTGTGAACTCCAAACCCTCCCCATACCCCATGAGCAAATGTCTGGGTCGTTGAATCAGTTCATAAGAACTTGGATGATGCAGAAGGGACACTGGGGACACTGATGGAGGGTCGTGGGGACTGGTGAAGGGATTGGTGCACCTGAAATCCAATCCTAAATATCTTTCTAACTTGTGACTCAATTTTTTTAATTTTTAAAAAGAACTTGGATGAAAAGGCACATGAAAAAAAAATGCTCCACATCGCTAGCCATCAGGGAGATGCAAATCAAAACAACAATGAGATATCATCTCACACCACAGAGACTGGCACACGTCCAAAAGGACAAGAGCAACCAGTGTTGGCGCGGGTGTGGGGGAAGGGGACGCTCTTTCACTGTTGGTGGGAATGCCGACCGGGGCAGCCTTTCTGGAAAACAACATGGACAGTCCTTCAAAAACTAGAAATTGAGCTTCCATGTGACCCTGCAATACCACTTCTGGGAATATGTCCCGAGGATGCAAAAAAGCACAGTAGAAATGACATCTGTACCTATATGTTCATTGAAGCAGTTCACAATAGCCAAAATCTGGAAACAACCCAAGTGCCCTAGAACAGATGACTGGTTAAAGAAACTTTGGTACATCTACACAATGGAATACTATGCAGCTGTCAGGAGAGATGAAGTCATGCACTTGGCTTATAAATGGATAGACATGGAGAGTATCATGCTGAGTGAAATGCGTCGGAAAGAGAGGGACAGACATAGAAGGGCTGCACTCATTTGTGGAGTATAAAACAACATAACATGAGGCTGACACCTAAGGATAGTAGATACACGGGACAGAAGATTGCTCCATAGCTGGAAGCCTTCCTCAGGAGCAAAGGGGAGAAGGCAGCTGGGATAGAGAAGGGATCACTAAGAAAAAGAGGGCTGGAGGAAGCGGTCGGGATGGGAGATGTGTGCAGAAAGTAGATCAAGGACAAACATGTAACCTCTCAGTGTCTTTATGACAAACCATAATGCCTAAAAGGAGAGAGAGCTTATGGGGAATCGTGTCTGCCATGGAAGCAGGGGGAGGGTGGGAAAGGGGGGGGTATACCAGGGATATTGGTGGTGGGGGATGTGCACTGGTGGAGGGATGGGTGTTTGATCACTGTGTGATTGTAACCCTAACATGAAAGCTTGTAACTATCTCACAGTGATGCAATAAAATTTTTTAAAAATTAAAAAAAAAGAACTTGGATGGACAAATGTCCTAGAGAAGACCCTTTAGAAAGCCAGAGGTGTTCCGAATCCCTCTCTGGGTGGATGAAACCAGGAGCGAATCTTTCTGGCCACTGCTGAGAGTGGAATCAAACTGAGGCCTCTGGGTCCACAAGTGCTTCTACTCCTGCCACCTGCGTGTAGCTCTGAACCATCAAGGGGAGGCGAGAGGCAGAACAGAGGGGGCACAGGATTGGGCTGATGCCAAACGCTCTTCGCTGGGAGCAGGGTATGAAGAGGAAGTGGGGTGTGGGCCCATGAGAACCCCCACTCTTTCCTCTGAAAGTCACAGAGGAGAAGTACAGGGTCATACTGAATGTAGTTGAGACCTCAGACTAGAAGTAAACTTTAAAAAGCAGAAGTATAGCCTTATTTTTTTTTTGCTTTTTGGGTCACACCCGGCGATGCTCAGGGGTTCCTCCTGGCTCTGCACTCAGGAATCACTCCTGGCGGTGCTCGGGGGACCCTATGGGATGCTGGGGATCGAACCCAGGTCAGCCGCGTGCAAGGCAAACGCCCTCCGCGCTATGCTATTGCTCTAGCCCCTAGCCTTATTTTTTCTACTCAGTATTCCCAAGATGGAAAAACTGGATGCAGTCTTTTGGGAAGAAGTTAAGCAGAAATCCTAAGTGACCAACGTTAGGAGAAAGAGCCACCTTGGAGCACGTCATTCTCAAACCTGGCTGGGAATAGCAAGCTTGTGCTCTGAACTAGCCCAGGGATCTTTTTTAAATCTGCATTTATGGACCAGAGCGGTAGTACAGTAGTCAGGGCATTTGCCTTACATGCAGCTAACCTGGGTTCGATCCCCAGCATCCCATAGGGGCCCCTGAGCACCACCAGGAATAATTCCGGGAGTGTAGAGCCAGGAGTAACCCCTGAGCATTGCTGAATGTGACCCCAAAAGCAAAAATAAATAAATAAATAAACACATTTGTAAGTCCCACCCTTGAATAAAATTCGCAAGCCAGAGAGATATCAGTGGGTAAGTTTTGATTTAACTTGACCCAGGTTCAATGCCTGGAACCCGATATGGTCCCCCGAGCCCCATCAGGAACGACACCTAAGCACAGACCTAGCAGTAAGCCCAGAGCACTGCTAGGTGTATGGCCCTGAAACAAAAGCAAGCCCAAAATACCCGTTTTTTTTTTCTTTTTGGATTTTTTTTTTTTTTGGAGTGGGTATCACACCTGGCAATACTTAGGGGATATTCCTGACTCTACACTCAGAAATCGCTCCTGGAGATGCTCGGCAAAATACCCAGTTTAAAACAAACAAACAGGGGCTGGAGCGATAGCACAGCAGGTAGGGCATTTGCCTTGCGTGCGGCCAACCGGGGTTCGATTCCCAGCATCCCATATGGTCCCCCGAGCACTGCCACGAGTAATTCATGAGTGCATGAGCCAGGAGTAACCCCTGTGTGACACCCAGACCCCCCCAAAAAAGCAAATAAAATAAAATCAAACAAAACAAACAAAACCATCTGTCCCGGTAGTTCTGAAGTCCAACCAGGTGTGGCAAACTCTCTTCGTGTACATACAAAGTAGTGATCAGGACCAAGGAGAGCTCCAATCACGCTAAGGATTTTCATGCGCCTCTGTGGTTAGCTACAAGGTGTGAGGCTGAAAAGTCTTACCTGTTAGTCAGCCACTGCAGATACCTCCTGCCCTCCAGTGTCAGGGCTGTGTTGAACCAGCCGTAGCTAGAGTCAGAGCGGGAATCAGGGATCAGAATCAGAGCTATATTTGCAGTAGGACACAGAGAGGAAGTGGGAGCAGTCTTATTCTGGGGACTTTTGGGGGGTGGGCACACCCGGTTGTGCTCAGGGCTTATTTCTGGCTCTGCACTCGGGCTTCATTCCTGTTGGGGCCCATCTGGGGTGCCAGGGATTGAACCAGTTGACTATGTGCCAGGCAAGCTACCTTACCCTCTGTGCTATCTCTCCAGCCCTCTCATTCTTTGAGTTTTTTTAAAGAAAAAGCCAGGATCACTGGGTGAAATCCAAGGAGACAGTATCCTCCAACCCACTGCAGTGAACATTTCTATCGGCAGAGTCATCCCTGATATTGCAGCATGAAGAATGGACATGTAGAGGAGTCAGGCACAGGAGGGATAAAGGGGGGAGCAGGAGGCCAACAGACTGTAAGGAAAGAACGGGGTGGTCCCTGCTTTTGCCCCACTGGATTTGGGAAACCATTTCGGTTGCGTGGTTGTATGACCTTTGGGGAATAACTTGGCCTCTCTGCAGCTCTTTTTACTCAGCACAAATAGAATAGCGAGGGGCTGGGGAAATGGCTAAGTGCAAGCTTTGCATGCAGGATGCTACAGCACTGCCTGGTAGCCCTGGTACTACCAGGAGTACCACCCCTGCCCAAGCATAGGAATGGGAGCAATCCATGAACACCTCTGGATGTTTCTCCCAGGGAACACTAGAATGGTGACATGAAGCCTTTGACCTTGAACTCTGACATTCCATCCCCGGGCTCCCTAGCCCAAGGACAAACTGTGCCTATCCCTTCTCCAGAGAATTAGAACTATGCCAGGAGACCAGATTAGCATCCCCAGGCCCTGATGGGTAGCAGATTTGGTGCCTTACAGGTAAGCCTGAGCTGTGGGACCTCAATGTACCCTTTTCCCTGACAGTCACTTCACCTGTAGTCAGGGAACATGTCCAGCTCTCGGGGGCTCAGCTTTCGAAATCCCAGAACCGTGTTCTTCCATGGAGGGTCCTGCCCAGGAAGGAGAAGAGAAGAGGACACGGGAGTAGGGGGGAGGGAGGTACGAATAACGGCAGTGACCCAAGTGTACATTCACTGTCACTGTCCTCCCGTTGTTTAACGATTTGCTCGAGCGGGCCCAGCAACGTCTCCATTGGAGACTTTGTTGTTACTGGGTTTGGCTTATCGAATACGCCACGGGGAGCTTGCCAGGCTCTGCCATGTAGGCGAGATACTCTCGGTAGCTTGCCGGGCTCTCCGAGAGGGGCGGAGGAATCGAACCCGGGTCGGCCATGTTACATTATGTTTACATTTTACTTACGCTCAGGGGATTGTGTATGATTCTAGGGATCGAACCTGTGACAGCTTCAGGCAAGGCAAGTGCCATCTTTTGTCCTCTCTTTCTGGCCCCTCAGATATCATTTTAAAAAAGCAAAAATTCAATTTAGAGGCCCGGGAAGGTAGTTGAATGGTGGAGCACATACCTTTCATGCGAGAGGCCCTGGGTTCTATCCCCAGCACCACAAAACCAAACTTCAAAAGTAGTAACTCAGGCCAGAGCAATAGAACAGTGGGTAGGGCGTTTGCCTTTCACGTGGCCGACCCCAGTTCAATTCCCAGCATCCCACATGGTCCCCCAAGCACCATCAGGAGTAATTTCTGAGTTCAGAGCCAGGAGCAGCCCCTGTGCATCGCCAGGTGTGACAGTACAAATAAATTTCAAGAAAACCTGTTTTGAAGATAGATAGGTGTTGATCACCTACAAGGCTTAAAGGTCTCCCAGGATCTGAGGAACTGGCCCTGGCCTATGATTCAAGGCCACCACATGAGTCAGGACTCGTCACTCACCGGAACCACTTTGCAGAAGAGATTATAACCCGAGGTCAGAGCTAGGCCCATGTCTGCTGCATCGGGAGAATGGATGTGGCCCAGGAGATAGTCGAAGGTCTGCTGGTTCCAGCTCCTGCAAGGGTCCACAAGCCAGCCTCCATCCCAATTCCCAGCCACTTACACCCCAAGAGGCGCAGAAAGCTCCAAGCACCAACTTTCCCAAAGCCAGACGCCCATCCTGCTCCGACCCGTAGACCCCCTCATGCCCACGGCCTTCCCCACTGCCAGCTTTCCAACCTCTGCTCATACATAACAGGACCAAAGGACACTCTATCACCATCATTTGGAGGACGGTTTCTTCTGGGGAACAAAAAGCCAATAAGGGGGCCGGAGCAACAGTACAGCAGGGAGGACGTTTGCCTTGCATGTGGCTGACCCAGGTTCGATCCCCAGCATCCCATAGGGTCCCCCAAGGTTCGATCCCCAGCATCCCATAGGGTCCCCCAAGCACCGCCAGGAGTAATTCCTGAGTGCAGAGCCAGGAATAACCCCTGAGCGTCGCTGGGTATGACCCAAAAAGCAAAAAAAAAAAAAACAACAACAACAAAAAAAAGAAGCCTTGTAAAAGAAGACTTGTAAACAGGCTGTCTGGGGGCTCCTGAACGGGCTCAGTGGTAAAGCACGTGCCTGGGCTCGAGTTATAGACCCCGCAAAATAAATAAAGAAGAGACTCTGGCCTTGGGGACTGCGAGTCTCTTAGCTCAGGCTCCGGGTCCTCAGACCTCAATTACAAACACAGGCCCAGCTTCCTGCGCGGCCCCCTGGACACATGGCTGGACTACATTTCCCAGAGTCCCTCGCAGCTGGGTGTGGCCTTTTCTCGGCTTTCCACCAAGGGGCCCTAAGGCGTCCCTGCCCATGCCCCCAGGGTCCTCCTGCTGTCCTCACACAGGCCTGCATCAGAAGAGCAGAGGGGACAGGAAGGGCAGAGGCTGAGATGGAAAGAACCTGGGCCCCCGCATGGCCAGATTCTCATCCGTTCCCCCAAGCTCATGCTTTGGGGCTTGGTGGCCTGGAATTCCTGTCGGTGCCATGCTCTGTGGGGGCTTCCTTGGTTGAGGCAGCTGGCAGCTTCTCCACGACTCAAATGAGCTTCGCAGCATCTTGGAGGAGTGTGAGCGTCAGTCCTTCCCTGGAGGGTCAGGCACGTGTTGTTTGTTTGTTCGTTTGTTTTTTGTTTAATGTGGTAGGCATGCTGCTATTTATCCAGCCATGGATTAAGCTGATTGAGCTGGGCATGAACTCCACGTTTTGTTTTGTTTTTTTTATTTTTTAAATTGGACATCCACGAGATAAACCATTACAAAGCTGTTCATAATTGGGTTTCAGTCATCAAATGATCCAGCACCCATCCTTCCAAGGCCTGTGGTTTTGGTGGGAGAGCTCGTACCCACACAGGGGCGGCCCTGGCTCCGACCCCTGGCACTGCAATGAAGAGCTCCTGGTTTTGGATCCCCTGGGGATCATGTGGGGGAGAAACATATACCCAGCCTCTGTCTACGGGGCACCCCAGGGCGCTTCTAACTCAGATGGATCGTCTTCACGTCCTGCCAAGCCAGACCTTTGACCGGGAAGTTGCTCTTGGTAACAAGGGTCCTAAAAAGGGGGGGAGGGGCGTGTCCTCTTCAGATCAATCCCAGCCCCCGCCCCCGGGACCCTCACTCACAACTCCTGGGGGTCTCTGGGCTCGGAGAGGTAGGGCTGCCAGAGGCCAGCTGCCAGGTCGGTGGTGGTGAGCGGCGTGAATCGGTCTGCGTAGACCTTCAGCTCCAGTGACGGGACGGCTGAGTGGTAGCGATCGTGGATACACAGGGCCGTGGAGAGGCCGATGACGCCCGCTCCGATCACCACCACACGCATCGTGCCAGCCTGCGGGAGGGTTGGGGTGCCACTGTGACGCCCCACTGTCACCACCATTCACCCAAGGCAGAGAGAGGGCTGGACCCCCCCCCCCCCCACACACACACACAGCTCTTTCGGTGCCAGGTTCTCTTAAGACCATCCCCAGGGGCAGGAGAGATAGTACAGTGGGCAGGGGGTTTGCTTTGCAAGGGCCCAGCCCCAGTTTGATCCCTGACATCCCATACGGTTCCCTCAAGCACTGCCAGGATTGAGCCTTGAGCACAGAGCCTGGAGTAACCCCTGAGCACCGCTGGGTGGGACCACTAAACAATACAATCCAAGGAGCACACACATGGGTTCTACGGCATCCATCAGCCTCAGGACAACGCGTGTCCAACTTCAGAACTCGGGTTTCCCCCCTGCAGCCCTTTGGGGCTTGTCTGGGGCGCTAAGCTGGCTGGGGGTGGGGTGGGGGGGCCCAGTTGAAGAGGCGGAGCAGCTTTTGACCTTGAAACTGTCGGGAGCCCTGCACAGCAAGGGGAAACTTCTGCTCCAGCTGAGGCAGAACAAGGGGACGTTTTGTGCCCGGAAGAGCCAAATTCATGGTTTCTCTCCTCTTGACTCTCAACTCTCAGTCGACCTCGGCTCCTGGCAACTCAGGGCCCGTGGCCCGGGCGGCAGAACATTCTCAATAGGCCCCGTCCTGGATGGGGAGGGCAGAGACAGCTCCCGCCCCAAAACTGGACACGGCCGGGGTGGCAGGAGCCAAGTTGGAGCTAAAACTCAAACAGGGCAGGCGGCGTTCCATGGGGCTGGGGCTCCTTCCTGCTCGGTTGCTGGGGGGCGGGCGGTCTTCGCCTCTGTAGAGCAGGGCAAACCCCCTTTCTCGGGCTTGAAGATGGGAAGACTAGCTTGGTGCCAAGTCCCTACGTCTTGTGGCCAGCAAGGGGAAAGATGGACGGGACAAGGAAGGGAGGGTCCGACTCAGCAGCGTGGCCACTCTCGAGGTAACCTTTGCCAGTAAGGAGAGGTGGCGCCCTACCTGGGTGTCCTGCATGGCCTAGAGTCTCGCACTCAGTATGTGGAAAATAGGACGGTGGAAGGGGTTCGGTAGGCAAGTTCGTGCTCTACAAGGGGGAGCCCCAGTTCTCTGCCCCCCCCAGCACTAAACCCCACCAGGATCAAGCCCTGAATGCCAGGCCGGGAGTGATCCCCAACCACTGTCTGCCGTGAGTCCCGAAGTCATAAGGAGGAGAAATGGCAGAGACAGAGGGACTGGAGCCATAGGATAGCGGGGAGGGCGTTTGCCTTGCATGCCACTGACTTGGGTTCGATCCCCGGCATCCCATGATGAGGACCACCAAGAGTGACTCCTGAACACAGACCCAGGATAACTAAGCTCTCAGCACTGCTAAGTGTGTTCCCCCCCACAACACACTCCACCCCCCTCCACGTACACGCGCGCGCGCACACACACACACACACACACACACAGACGAAGAGAAGAAATAGAATAGAGAGCTTTCCTGCTTTCTCCCAGACAATGTGGCGTCGTGGCGGCGGCACCAGGGTCATCACAGCCTAGGATGGGGGTCAGACACAGCAGGGTCACAGCTGGCTTTGGATCTCACCAGCTGTGGCCCAGGGCTGAGAGTCACAGGGAAGCTCCATGACCTGAGAGGCGGTGCTGCATGACCGGGGCCCAGGTTCCTGCCCCGGCACCATACGGTCCCCAGAGCACTGCCAGATATGATCCAAATAAATTAATTAGCTGAATGAGATGACCCTCCCGCCCTGCCCAGCTTACCCCACACTGAGAGTGTCTGCAGAATGTGACTTCGAGTACACAGTCCCACACCCCACAGGGCCGCGCTGGTTACGGTCACCGAGCTTTCAGTTCCTCTTCCAGAAACTTTTTTTTTTTGGGGGGTCACACCCAGCGATGCACAGGGGCTGCTCCTGGCTCTGCACTCAGGAATTACTCCTGGTGGTGCTTGGGGGACCCTATGGGATGCTGGGGATCGAACCTGGGTTGGCCGCATGCAAGGCAGATGCCCTTCCCACTGTGTGATGGCTCTGGCCCCCAGAAACCTTTTCTTAAGTTGCAATGCTGGGATGGAAACCAGGGCCTCACATATGTACACAAGTGCTCTATTGCTGAACCACGTTTCCAGTCCTTCTCTGCTAGAAATTTCAAAACACTAAACACACACACACACACACACACACACACACACACACACACACACACACGGTCACGGTCCTCCCGTTGTTCATCGATTTGCTCGAGCGGGCCCAGTAATGTCTCCATTGTGAGACTTGTTGTTACTGTGTCTGGCATATCGAATACGTCACGGGGAGCTTGCCAGGCTCTGCCGTGCGGGTGAGATACTCTCGGTAGCTTGCCGGGCTCTCCGAGAGGGGCGGAGGAATCGAACTCGGGTCGGCCATGTTGGCTGCGCACAAGGCAAACGCCCTACCGCTGTGCTATCGCTCCAGCTCCACCCCCACACACACATATATACATTTGGCGGGAAACAAATATATTTACTAAGCTCTCAGCACCGCCCCGCGGTCTCTCCACACAAACACGACTCAAGGCTGGAGGTGGGGGAACACGGGAAAGAAAGGTTTTCCTTAGAGGCCACACCCAGCAGTGCTCAGGAGTTGCTCCTGGCTCTGTGCTCAGGAATTACTTCTGACAGGGTTCAGGAAACTCTGTGGGGTGCCTGGGATCAAACCTGGGTCGGCCACATGCAAGGCAAGGGCCCTACCTGCTGCACTGTCTCTCCAGCCCTAGAAAAAAAATTTCAAAAATGATTTTTTTTCCCTCTGGCATGGGTGAGGGCGGGGGGTTGGGGCACGCCCAGCTATGCTCAGGGCTTACTCCTGGCTCTGCACTCAGGAGTTACTCCTGGAGGTACACGGTGGGTTGGGGGGGGCATATGGGATGCCGGGGATTGAACCCAAAAGCGCTACCTGCTGTGCTATGGCTCCAGCCCCTAAAAACGGCAACTTTTGAACAAAACTCCCAGACTCTTGTGTCTCACCAGCACAGAAGGTTTAAGAGAGCGGGACTCGGGACCACCCCATCCCCAGGGCCCAGAGCAGGGCCTGACTGGCTGGCCGGAGTTCTAGAAGGCAGCTAAGGAAGGAGCACGGGACTCCCGGGCACGGCAGGGATCGCCTCACGCCCAGGCACCAAGGAGGGAACGGGGCCAGACGGGGGCTGGGTCAGTTACCCAAGGTCAGAACACGAACACGAGGTGCAGACACAGCACCCCAGCAGTGTCTTTCCCAGGCCTGGAATGTTTTCCTTTCTCGTGCCACCAGAAACCCAGCAAGGGGCCAGGAGCAAAAGGCAGGGGTTACGTAACAGACACGGGAGTGTGGGGAGAGCGCGCGGCGCTTCCGTTCCTGGACTGAGGAGCCGGGGAGGTAGCTCGGAGGGAGAGCCCGTGCCTGTCGTTCAGGGGCCCCAGGTCTGAGCCCCGGGAATGGCCCCAAACTAAACCCAAAAATCCCCCCCGCATCTTCCACTCACCTGCAGTTCACACCAGGACAGTGAGAGCAAGGCCACAGCGCAGGCCCATAGCCAAGTGGCTGTGATGTCCCAGGGTGGCGTTAGGTTTGGGGATGTGGCATGTGACCGAGAGAGGCACCTGGAGCAAGTTCTAGAACCCCCTCACCGAGAGGGCCTGGGAGGAGCAAAAGGCTCAGATTCTCCAGTGTGTGAGGCCTGAAAGGGGGGCTACAGGACTTTATGCAGAGGGGGAAACTGAGGCCCGGGGAAGCCCAGTCACTCCAATTTTTAACCTCCTGGCAGCTGTCAGTCCTTGAGCTAAGAACTTTACGTGTATGGACTGGAGAGGTAGAACAGTGGGGAAAACACTCGTCTTGCATATGGCTGACCTGGATTCTATCCCTGACATCTTATATGTCACCCCAAGTACTGCCAGGAGTGATCCCTGAGCTCAGAGTCTGGAGTAAGGCCTCAGAACTGCTGATACGGGCCCAAAATATCACCACAAATAAAAGAACTTTACGTGTGTGACTGTCTTCCAATGGTCTCAGAAATATCGTAATGCCTGTGGGCAGGTGTGGCCACAAAGCCTCAGACACTCTCGGTGCACATGACGGCAGAGCCCAGAAGGTCCCTGTGCCCACGGACCATCCCTGCTGACCCATCCATCCCATGATTGCAAGAAGCCCAGGGTCAAGCGGAGAAACAACCCAGATTTTGGAGTCCTGCGTTATTAACGGGGGAAAAAAATACAAGCATCAAATACAACATATGCAGGAATTTCCAGGGTCTTGGTGGTTACAATAGGATTGCAGAAAGAGCCAAAACAAAACCAAAAAACTGTGTCCAAAACCAGTCATCTGTAAGGATCAGATGACTCAGGTCTGAGACCGATTCCTGCCACTCTGTGTGCAGAGAGCCTGGAAAGATCTAAGGTTCACGGAAGTAGGAGCCAGGCTTAGGGTCAGGCCGGCCAAACCCCGGGGAAAATCAGTCCTGGACACGGGGAATGAGCTTCTCTGCTTCTTTTTGTTGTTGTTGCTTTGTTTTGGAGTCACACCTGGAGGTGCACAGGGTTCACTCCTGGGGAGCTCTGCAGAGCACAGCAAGGCGAGCCCTCTGCCTTCTGAACCCTCTCCAGCCCCAGAATGAACTTTTGGACCTGCTGGCACCTGGCTCAGATATTTCCCTTCAGCAGTTTTCTTATGGTTTATGTAGTTTTTTTTAATCACTGTTCATTTATTTATTGATGGGGGAGATAGGGGTGCATACTCAGAGGTACTCAGGGCTTACTCCTGGCTCTGCGCTCAGGCATCACTCCTGGTGGGGCTCAGGGGACCACATGAGGTGCCAAGGATCGAATGCAGGTCGGTCACACACAAGGCAAATGCCCTCCCCGTTGTGCTGTTGCTCTGGTCCCTAGTTTGTTTATATCCAATGTCCTTACTTGAACCCATGACTTCAACCTACTTGGAGAGAGCATCAGGGAAGATGCAAAAAAAAAAAAGGGGGGGGTGGTTATTGCACTTCTGTGTGTGCGTGCACATGTGTGTGAGTATGTGTGTGTTGAGAGTCTGTCCCTTTCTACACACACACACACACACACACACACACACACACACACAGGAGGCTGCCTTCTTCTTCGTCCTCTCCTCTGCTCTGTGGAGCTTCAACAGCTTGGGGACTGAGGTTCAGAGGAAGGAGGGGCCGTCTTCAAGTCACAGAGCCACTGGGGGCTGGTGCTCAGTGTGGCCCCGTCTCTGGAGCCTCTGCCCCATCCGTGGTAGACTTGGAGCGGCAGCAGGCAGGAGCCACCTCACACTGGCTGTTTGCCTTTCCCTCTTCTGGGGGGGTGCTGCCCCCTTCCTTGGCCTACAGAAGAAGTCCAAGGCTGTGGATGCCTTTGGGGACAAAGGATACGAAAGGCTCAGTCTAGAAGAATCTGCCAGGGGCTGGAGCGATAGCACAGCAGGTAGGGCGTTTGCCTTGCACGCAGCCAACCCGGGTTCGATTCCCAGCATCCCATATGGTCCCCCGAGCACTGCCAGGAGTCATTCCTGAGCGCAGAGCCAGGAGTAATCCTTGTGCATCAACGGTGGGACCCAAAAAGCAAAAACAAAACAAAACAAAAACAACTATAAAAGAATCTTCCAGGGTTGAAGCAATAGTATAGCAGGGAGGGTGTCTGCCTCCCATGAAGCCAACCAAGGTTCATTCCCTGGAATCCCATAGGGTCCCCCAAGCCTGCCAGGATTGATCCCTAAGAGCAGAGTAAGGAGTAAGCTCAGAGCATCACTGGTATAGCACACCCCCCCCCGCCACACACACACACACACACACACACACAAGAATCTGCGAGTCACAAGGAGATATTTGAACAGAAGTCTTCCACTCATCCCAGGGAGCCCTGAGGCTACTGCCGATGAAGCAGATATTTTCAGGCTTTATTTTAAAAATTATCATGGGGGCTGGAGCACAGTGGGTAGGGCATTTGCCTTGCACACGGTCAACCCGGGTCTGATTCCCAATATCCCATATGGTCCCCTGAGCACCCCCAGGAGCAATATTCCTGAGTACAGAGCCAGGAGGAATCCCTGTGCATCACCGGGTGTGACCCAGAAAGCACTGTAGCACTGTCCATCCGTTGTTCATCGATTTGCTCGAACGGGCCCAGTAACGTCTCCATTGCGAGATTTGTTACTGTGTTTGGCATACCGAATACGTCACGGGTAGCGGCAAAAATAAATAAATAAATAAAAATTAGCCTGGAACCGGGAGATCAGAGAAAACAGTGCAGAGGGTAAGGTGCCGGCCTTGCTCATGGCTGACCCCCAAGCCTGGAGTCCGGAGTAAGCCCTGAGCACAGCCTGGAGCAAGACACATTCGGGAAAGGAAAAACTGGAACCGATTCAGAGGACTGGATAAATATAGTACAGGGGTTACGGCACTTGCCTAGCGGCTGACCCCAGTTTGGTCCCTGGCACAGAACGGTCCCCTGAACTCTGCCAGGAGCAGCACCCGAAGCCCTGGGGGAGCCAGAGCCCTGTGCACCACTGCTCTCGCCCCAATCCGTAAACAGATGAAACGGAACCTGTTGGCTGTGGGGAGATCGTCCAAAGTGCCAGAGTATGTGTTTTGCCGGTGGAGCCCCAGGCGTGATCCCTGAGCAGGGCCGAGAGCAATACCCGAGCACTTTGTCAGGAGTCACCTCTGCACTCTACCAGGTGTGCTCCTGTCCCCCCTCAAAAATAAATAAATAAAATAAACCCAGAAAGATGTGGAAAGAAAACAGATTCTACACATGTGTGACAACCAGGCAGCTGCCGCATCCCCAATAAATAATAGCAAACATGTATTATTTCGCCAGACCCAGGATGAAGCTAGGTAACATTCGGCACCACTTTGGACTCATTAACCTTGGGGTGGGGTCTGAGCACTCTCAGAGGCAGACCACCCGCTTTTCTTTGCGGGGGAGGGTTGTGCTCAGGGGTACATACACACAGTGGTGCTCAGGGTTTACTCCTGGCTCTGGGCGCAGGGATCATTCCTGGTGGTGCTCAGGAGACCAGACAGAACGTAGGGAATCAAACCCGGGTCAGTTGCGGGCAAGGCGAGTGCCCTCCCCGTTGTACCCTCTCTCCAGCTCTTCTGTTGGTTCGTTTTTGTTTTAGGACCACAGGCAACGGTGCTCAGAGATGACTCCTGGCTCTGCACTCAGGAATTACTCCTGGCCGTGTTTCATGGACCGCACGGGATACCAGGGATCGAACCCAGGTCAGCCGCATGCAAGGCAAACACCCTCCCCGGTATCCTGTCTCTGAGACCCTGAATACCTGCCTTTCTTATGTGAGGCTCAGGATTCGATCCCCAGCATCATTAAGGAATCCTCACGAATAAGTATTCGAATTCTGTAAGAGGTGAATTACAATCCCCTGGTCTCGTAGGAGGAAACTGAAGCAAAGGAGGTGAAGCCACTTACCTGTGCTCCTTGCCCAGGTCCACGCTGTCTTTGGCTTCGACTCCGATCTGGAGCCTTTTCTATCACCTCGGGGGGAACACTGAGTTCTGCTGAGCCCAACACAGCTCAGAGTGGCTGCCACTCACCTGAAGTGCCAAAGGTCCCAAGCAAAGGGCCAGCTGCTGGCAAAGGAGGGGAGACTCCTGTTCGGGGCGCTCTGTCCTCAGTCCACCGGCGCCAGCTGGAACTGGAACTCAAGGTCCAAAGTCTGGAGCGAGAGCTAGCCAGAAGCGGGCTCCAGGCTGCTCGCAGGGGCTGGCCCTTGCCAGGCTGGGAAACCTCCCCTCGGCCCTAGAGCTAGGGTCCCTGAGAAGTTGCCTGCCATTTCGGGCAGAACCGAGTCCCTCTGTGAACCGGCAGAGGGGGAGGGCGGGCCGGAGGGCGGTGCTCTTGGAGGGCTGATGGGCACAAGGGGACCGGGCTCCGGCCCAGCTGGAGAGGATTCTCTTCCTTCTCTCTCCCTGCTGCCGCCCAGCAGGCAGGGAGGGCTGTTCTGGGGCCATCATGGGCCAGGTTTGTGGGGAGGCAGGGAGGCAGAGGTACAGGGCAGGGGGGCTCGGGGGCCACGCGCGGACACAGGGTGCGAAAGACCGAGGGCCGGTGCAAGGAGGAGCCTGTTTGGACGTGGGAGGTGTGTGGGCCTGTGCTTTTGGACCTGCGGCACTGGCAGCAGGACTGCAGGGCCAAACATGCAGCTGCCATGAAGGGCCCAAGTTCCTCAGCGTCGGGGCCAGCGTGATAGCACAGCGGGGAGGGCGTTTGCCTTGCACACAGCCAACCGGGGTTTGATCCCCAGCATCCCATAGGGTCCCCCGAGCACTGCCAGGAGTGACTTCTGAGTGTAGAGCCAGGAGGAACCCTTGAGCATTGCTGGGTGTGACCCAAACAAAGAACAAACAAAGATCCTCAGGGTCATGCTCTGAATGGGGAGACTGAGGCCCTGAGAGATGCACCTGCCTCGGGCCCCGGGATGCGTCTTTTGTAAAGTTCCAAGGCTCACACATCCCTTTTGGGCGTCGTCAAATAAAAAGGTGACCATGGGGCAGGGGGAGGGGCAGCTGAGTGACAGCACAGCAGGGAGGGCATTTGCCTTGCACGTGGTCGATCTGTGTTCCGTCTCTGGCATCCCATATGGCCCCCTGAGCATCACCAGGAGTGATTCCTGAGTGTAGGACCAGGACTAACCCCTGAGTATTGCTAGGTGTGACGCAAAAAAAAAAAAAAAAAGTGAAAATGGAGATGGGGAAGAGAGCATCAAGGACAGGAGCACATGTTTGGCATGTGGGGGCCCCAGGTCTGGTCCCTGGCATCTCGTGGTTCCTGGAGCACAGCCTTAGTGGTTCCTGGAGGGTGTAGCCTCCCAGAAAGTCTATTTTAAAGGGGAAGATAAAAGTAGGTGGGCTGGAGGGACAGGACAGAGGTTAAGGCACTTGCCTTTCATTCCACCGACCCCAGCCTGAATCCACAAATGGTCTGCCAGGAATAGCCTCTGCTGGGGATGACCCAAAATGGCTTTACACATTCACATAGGTAAACTAAGGTGTATAAAGAGAAAGGGATGCCCTAAGATCTAGGGAGGCAGTACCACAGGGCCCAGGGGTTGCGAGCCCTCTTGAGCCAACTGTGCAGTGCAGAAGTCAGGGACACCACAGGGACACAAGAGCCCAGAGGGTCGCTGGAAGCTATCCATGTTTATTTGGTAGGAGCTGCAGGGACAAGAGGGACTGGCTGATCAACTGGAAGATTCAAGGAAGTGTGATTCTCCCTCTAGACACGCATGCGCACACACAAACACACAGACACAGACAGACAGACAGACAGACACACACACACACACACACACACACACACACACACACACACCACTACACACCCTGATTTCAATCCGGCTAAGGAGACTTCAGATCTGTTTCTATGTTGGTAGACCTGTGGGCTTACTTCTAAAAAAATAAAAAAAAGCCATGCTGTTTGCAGAGCCAGAAGGCAGCCCTATAGAGAACCACTGGGGGTGGCCAAAAACCAATTACGGTACAGGATGAACTCAACCAGAAGGGAGACGACTTTGGTGCTTTCTCTTCTAACTGGTTCCTCTTCTCCACTCTGGCCCTTCCGGAGGCCCACGGAGTGGGAAGGGGAACCAGAGAGTTCTTACTTCTCCTTGCTCCGCCCCCAACCCACCACCCCGCCCCCAAGCCCCCCACCTTACCCCCAGCCCCACCACTACAGGCCACTGGGGCACAGGTTGTTTGCACAGAGTCCTCCGAACGACCCAACTTTTAAATAAACCCGAGCTGAGTCAAGGCAGGCTCATTTAGGGTGCCCCACTCAGGCCTGAAACCGGGAGGGAACCAAAGCGGAACACTAAGATCCAAAAGGCTAAGTCCCCCAGAGCTCATTCGCAGATGTGGATGTGAACTTTGGAGAACGGGTGCCACCAACACTTCCCTTTCCCTGGTGAGAGACAACTCCCGACACTGCTTACACAAAACTGCACGTTCTTGGGGCTGGAGCAATTATACAGCGGGGAGGGCATCTGCCCTGCACGTGGCCAACCTGGGTCCGATCCCCAGCATCCCACTTGGTCTCCCAAGCACCACCAGCAGTAATTCCTGACTGCAAAGCCAGGAATAACCTCCGAACATCGCTGGATGTGACACCCCACCCAAAAAATACCCAGCAAAACAAAACAAAACAAAAAACCCCAAACCAAACTAACCAAACAAACAAACCCAGCACATTTTCCTCTCTAATAAAGCGGTTTTCTTTCTTTTTCTTTTTCTCTTTTTGGGTGGGGGCCAGACCCAGCAGTGCTCAGACATTACTCCCGGCTCTACATTCAGGAATCACTCTTGATGGTGCTCTGGAGACTATACGGGATGCTGGGGATCAAACCGGGGTTGGCTACGTGCAAGGCAAGCGCCTTTCCTGCTGGCACTATGACCCTGCCCCATGAGCTGCGTTTCTGAAAACCCAGTCACAGATGCTTTGCCTTGGCATATGCAACAGAGAGGACTATTGCCTTACACTGGTGGGAATGCAGAGACGCTTCTTTGGATGCTGTCCCTGGACCCACAGGCCAGTGGGCACCCCTTGCTCCTGTTCTCTAAGGGCCAGTGATGCTGGAGGGAGTGTGAGCTGACCCAGTCTTTTGGGAAGACAATAGGGACACTCCTCAAAAAACTAGGCATGGGGGGTGGGAGGGATGCTGGGACCTGTGGTGGTGGAGGATGGGCGCTGGTGGAGGCATGGGTACTTGATCACTGTATAACTGAAACCCAAGCACAAAAATTTATAAGTCTATAACTGTACCTCGTGGTGTCTTACTAATAAAAAAAAGCTAGGCATTGAGCTTCCATTAGACCCAGCAATCCCACTCCTTGGAATACATCCCAAGGGCCCCAGAGCACAATGTGGGAAAGACATCTGTACCCCTGTGTTCATTGCAGCATGATTCACAAGAGCCAGAATCCAGAAATAACCCAAGAGCCCAAGAACAGATGCGTGGATAAAGAAACCATGACACATACGCATGATGGAATACTACTCGACTCTAAGGAAAGATCGAGGCAGGGGCTGGAAAGATTGTGCAGCAGACAGCGCATTTGCCTTGCACGTGACTGACCCAGGTTCAATTCTCAGCATCCTGAAGGGTTCACAGAGCACCGCCAGGAGTGATTCGTGAGCACAGAGCCAGGAGTGACCCCTGAACATCACCAAGTGTGACTCAAGAGCCAAAAAATGAAAAAGAGAAGAAAGAAAAGATAAAATCATACAGCTTGCTGCTTCGTGGATGGATCTGGGGAGTACCTGTTGGGTGAAGGTGGTCAGAGGGAGAGAGAAAGATACAGAATGATCTCTTTATGCAATATAAAGAAACATAGCCAGGGGATAAAATGCCCAAAGTCTGGGAATGATACAATTACAACTTCAGGGAAGTGGTCATGCTGGAGGGAGGATGGGGTTCTGAAAGGAGGTAGAAAGTGCCTACTACAGGGGCTGGAGCTATAGTCCATTGGGTAGGGCGTTTGCCTTGCATGTGGCCGACCCCAGTTCAATCCCCAGCATCCTATAGGGTCCCCCAAGCACCGTCAGGAGTAATTCCTGAGTGCAGAGCCAGGAGGAACCCCAGAGCATCGCCAGACGTGACCCAAAAAGAACAAAAAAGAAAAAAAGAAAGAAAGTGGCTACTACAGAGGCAGGCTGAGGGGCAGGAAGGGACATTGGTAGAGGGGAGTGGACACTGGTGAAGGGCTGGCTGTTACATTGTTCCACCTGAAACTCAGCCATGAGTAACTTGCCGAAATAGAGAAATAAATAAATAAATAAATAACATTGAGACCAGTGGCTCTCCCCTCTTGCCATCAGAAAAAGAAAAAAAGAGAAGAGTTCCACAAAATTTTCCCCAAAGCCACCTTTCAAGGGCTTTTGTACCTGACGTGAGATGCACCTTCGAGATGAAGGCTGTGGCAGGCCAGACCGAGGCCTGAGCAAGTGGTCCCAGAGCCAGGATATGGGGAAGGGCGGGCCAGGAACCAGGGGTGCTGGGCCAGCGGCAGGGATGGTGGGGGTCTTATATCACTCAGAGAGGCCGCAGGATGGGAGGCCTGCAGGGGGAACTTCCAAATGTGCACGTGGAGGCAGAGGGGTTCCAGGATACAGAACAAGGGAACATTGTCCTATCAGTAAGTCAAGCCAGAATGCCCTGGTGTCTGCCACCACGATCCTGTCTCTCTCTCCACACGTGTCCACCACACCACACACACCACAGAGGTGTCTACCATCACGGAAGCCCCAACCCACAGCTCTCCTCCCTTCCATTCTCCACCAGCAGCCCAAGCAGAGCATTCCCCTGATCTTGCCATTCTCTTCCCGCCTCTTCTCTCACAGGGGTGGGGTTCTGTCCCAGCCCCTCCCCAGCAAAAATGACACCCTCCCTAGGCCAGTCAATCCGGCTCAACAGACCAAGAGCAAGTACCCCTCAGCGGTAAACCTTCCCTGACTTCCCCAGGATTTGGTTTTGCTTCTGCACACATAGAACAAATTCACAGAGAAAGATGAACTGGGGCTGAAACCATAGTAGAGCGACTGCCCTGGACATGGCTGGGCCCGATTCAGTCTCCGGCACCCCCATGGTCCCCTGGGTACCACCAGGAGTGATTCCCGAGTGCAGAGCCAGGAGTAAGCCCTGGGTGTGGCCCAAAAACCAAGGGGGAAAAAAAAAAACAAAATAACTCCTTTGGGAAAGCCGGGAGTGCTGGCTTGGACCACACCTGGCGATGCTCTGGGTTCCTCCCGGCTCCTCACTCAGGAATCAGTCCTGGTGATGCTCCAGGGACCAGATGTGATGCACAGATCAAACCCAGGACGGCAGCATGCAAGGCAAGCGCCCTCCCCGCTGTAGTGTCACTCCAGCCCCAGCAAAGTAACTCTTAATGTGCTGAGTGATCACACATGTGTGTATGTGTGCACTGACAGGCATCCCTTTGGGCAGTGCCAGACCCAAGGCCTTCCACATGCAAGACACGCGCATGTGGGGCACCGAGATACGGCTCCTGGACTCGGGCCTCGCCCGACTCCTGGCTATTCACTGATGGCACTGAGCGGGTGCTCCAGCAACGTTTCCGAGTGAATCCGTGCAGGGACAGACGAATTTCTGCAAACTCTGCGGCTTTGGGCTGAGGAACCGGGTTCGAGCTGCAGGTCCCAGCAGCAGCCTCCGTTTTCCCGGGCTCCGCGGGCGGACAGGGAGGCGGAGGCGAGCGGGGTCGAGTTCCCGGGCCGAGCGGGCGCGGGTGGACGGGGTCCGGCGCCGCCCGGAGCTCCCGCGCACGCGCGCACGCCGCCGGCTCCCGGCCGCCCCCGCCCCGCCCCCGCCCCGCCCCCGCCCCGCCCCGCTGGCCCCGCCGGCCCCGCCCCCGGCCCGAGGCCCCGCCCCGGCCCCGCCCCGCGCAGACCCGGCGCAGACCCGGCGCAGACCCGGCGCGCCGGCGCGGGAGGCGGGGCGGGGGCGGCGCGCGGACGCGCGGGGATGGGCGGCGCGGCCCCCGCTCGGCCCCCGCTCGGCCCCGCTCGGCCCCGCTCGGCCCGGCCGCCCGCCCGCGCGCGCCTCCTCAGGCCCGGGCCCGGCCGGGCGGCGGCGGCGGGAGTGGAGGCTCGAGGTCGGCGGCGCCCGCGCCCGCGCCGTCGCCATGGCCCTGGTGACCCTGCAGCGCTCGCCCACGCCCAGCGCCGCCTCCTCCTCGGCCAGCAACAGCGAGGTGAGCCGGGGCGCCGCCCGCAGGCCCGAGCGCGCGGGCCTGGGCGCCGCGGGGACCCCCGACCGGGGCGGGGCGGGGCGGGGCGGGTGTGTGTGCGTGTGAGTGTGTGTGTGTGTGTGTGTGTGAGAGAGAGAGAGAGCGAGAGAGAGAGGCTGAGAGACTCCCGCCGGGGTGATGCGGTGAGGGCGTGAGAGGGACAGAGAGAGAGAGACGGGGAGAGACTGAGACTCCCTGAGAGGAAGACAGGCTGAGAGAGACTCCCGGGGGGTGATGGGGTGAGGGCGAGACAGAGACACAGAGGCAGAGACACAGGCTGAGAGAGACTCCCGGGGGGTGTTGGGGTGAGGGCGAGACACAGACACAGAGGCAGAGACACAGGCTGAGAGAGACTCCCCGGGGGTGATGGGGTGAGGGCGAGACACAGACACAGAGGCAGAGACACAGGCTGAGAGAGACTCCCGGGGGGTGATGGGGTGAGGGCGAGACACAGACACAGAGGCAGAGACACAGGCTGAGAGAGACTCCCGCCGGGGTGATGGGGTGAGGGCGTGAGGGAGAGAGAGAGACAGAGAGAGACTGAGACTCTGTGAGAGAGGGAGAGAAAGGCTGACAGAGACTCCCGCTGGGGTGATGGGGCGAGGGTGTGTGAGAGACAGAGAGAGACACCCCCACTTCCCGCTGTCACCCGCACTGGGGTGACCCTCATGGGGGGGGTGTGGAAGAGAGAGAAAGCCAGGGAGACAGACCTGCCTCGGGGTGACCGAGGGCCAGTATGACCCGTGCCTGCTGGTGTGACTGTTCAGGTGTGATTCTGTGCACAGGTGACTGGGTGTGATCCTGTGTGGAGGTGACTGACGGTGTGACCCTGTGTGGTATTGACTATGTCACCCTGTCTGGAGGTGACTGTGAGTGAGTGTGATTCTGTGGGGGGATGACTGGGTGTGACCCTGTGTGGTGGTGACTGAGAGTGTGACACTGTGGAGATGACTGCAGGTGTGATCCTGTGTTCGGGTGATTGGGTGCGACTCTATGCAAGTGTGATTGTGTGTGTGGGTGACTGGGTGTGTCCCTGTGTGGTGGTGACTGAGTGTGACACTGTGTGGAGGTGACTGCAGGTGTGATCCTGTGTTCGGGTGATTGGGTGCGACTCTGTGCAAGTGTGATTGTGTGTGTAGGTGACTGGGTGTGTCCCTGTGTGGTGGTGACTGAGTGTGACACTGTGTGGAGGTGACTGCAGGTGTGATCCTGTGTTCGGGTGATTGGGTCTTACTGTGCAAGTGTAACTGTGTGTGTGTGGGTGACTGGGGGTGACCCTGTGTGGGGGTGACTGAGAGTGTGACCCTGTGGGAGAGGAGATGGTCCTGTGTATAGGTGTGATCCTGTGTACAAAGTGATTGTGGGTGGGACCCTGTGTGCAGGTGGTTGTGTAGGTGTCACACCTGAGGGTGACACTAGGATCCTTCCTGGGTGATGGTGTTGCCTTCTCTGGGGTTTGTGACAGTGACTTTCTCTGGTGTGACAGGCACCTGGGCGGGAACTGTCCCTCTGAGATGGGTGCATGGGAACCTCAGGAGGGCCCCGGGGTGCCCGTGTCAGCGTGTGGTGGCAATGAATGAGGGAGCCAGTCCAGCATCTGTGGGCGGCAGCATCTGTCCGGGCCTTTCCTTTTTCTGTCACCTTTTCAGGGCTGTGGGTTTCTGGGCGTTTGGCTGCGTGGCCAAGGCGGTCTGGAGTTCTGGGGGCTGGGTGGGCCTTACTGTACCCTGTGGGTTTGTGCTGAGCTGGCTCCTGACTTCAGGGACGTAGGAGGCGCTGGCCTGTGCTCTGAGCAGTGCAGACCCCCACCACCCCCCATTCTAGCCCCCTTCCCTTGCCCAGTGGTGAAAGCCCCCAGTCCACTGGCATTTGTGCATCTGTGGTCACCAGGTGTTGGCTGAAGACGGTCTGCAGCTGAGCGGAAGTGAGAACCGATCAGAGAAGGCAGGGGAGCCCTGTGCCCTGGGAAGGGCCCAGCAGGCCCCATGGTGGTGTTGATAGGAGTGGGGGGAGTTGGCCCACGGCACAGGAAAGGTCTGCGTGTGTGTGAGGACAGCAAGGGACTGCGTCTGCCCTGTGGTCTCCTGCTGGAGACATGGACCCGTTTTACTGGGCCCTCTGCAGGGTGGCTGCAGGGCCACCCTCCCCACCTGATTGGGGAGAGACCACCCGCAAGTCCCTGGGATAGAGATGCTGGGGTTAGAGAGAGAGGACAGCAGAGGGCACTGGCCTTGCATGCAGCCTACCTGGTTTCCATTCCTGGCACCGCATACGGTCCCCTGAGCCCTGCCCAGCGTGATCCTGGGTCACAGAACTGGAGTCAGCCCTGAGCACAGCTGGGTGTGGCCGGAACAGCTCCCTCCCCTAAAGTCTCTGACAGTTCTCAGCACACTGAGGCAGCACGGGGAGGCCTGCGTGGGGGAATGGAGTCTGCGGGCTGCTCTCTGAGCCTGTTGCAGTCTGCAGTGCTGCATATGTGGAGCACAACCCTGTGTGCGGGCCACGGCCCCTCCCCAGAACTCTGACCCGGAAAGAGCTTCCACTTTAGGAGGGGTTGTTGATCTGTAGGTCTCCCCTCGATCCTGCACCCCAAGTGCCTATACTCCTTTTCTTTGCTCTGTTCCTGTCTTACACACATTTTTGAATGTTCATTTTATTGTTTTTCACCAAAGATTCAAATCCCAGGCCATCAGTTCACTGCTTTGAAGTTCACACTTCAGGGCTGCTTTGGTGTATTCACAAAGGCTGTATAAGCATCACCACTGACTGAATACCAAGGCATTTTCATCACCCCTAAAGCCATCGCCCGCAGCTGGTCTTTCCCTCCCTGACCCACTTGCACCCCTGCCAGTCTGCCCCTCCTGCGCTTCCCAGCTCCATCACTTGCCCCTCACAGACATTTATTTTTATTTTTGTTCTGCCATAGCCAGGGATGCTTGGGGGCTATTCCTGGCTCTGTGCTCAGGAGTGAGCCCTGGTGGTGCTCGGGCCGCCGTATGTGATGCCAGGGATTTTTACCTGGATTACCTTAACCCATGTACTGTCCCTACAGATCCCCTCCAGCCTCCCCACCTCCCATGTCCTATAGGAGGCTGTGCGGGGGGGCTCTTGCTCCTTTGCCCTTTCCTGAAGGGTAAAATCTTTAAAGTCTAGCCCTAGCACTTCCCTTTTCCTAGGCCAATAACTAGCCACTGTGGGACTGTGCTGTGTAAGAGTCCAGCATTTGCCTTGTTTTCACTGGATACAAATGACTACATTGAGGCAACTGTTTCTACAAAGTCCTGAGGAGGACTTGCTACACTATAAAAGGCACCTGACTTTTGTGTGACTGTAGTTAGCCCCCTCCATTGCCTGAGGCTGGGGTGTCCCCAGCCTGAGTTAGCTAGTTTCCAGCTGGGGTAAGACCTACAGTGCGGGAGGGCTTCCCCTCTGCACAGACTGCCCTCCCTCAGCTGGGCCCCTCTCCCCTCCTTCTGCCCTCGGCCTGTGTTCTTTGGCAGGGTGTCCTGTGTCTCTGGAACAATCCACCTCGCATGCTTTTCGTGCCGAGGAGCTCAGGAAGCTGATGCAAATGAAATAGCGCTGTCTTTGGTCCCACCCTTACCTTCCTTTACCTTCTTCCTCTTCAGAACTTGACTCCTTGACAGGGAGCCTGAGCTTCTGAGGCAAATGTCCCCCCATCACCACCTGCCCCCCAGCAGTGCCCCTCTTCTCCCCCTGCTTCTTAGAGCCCCCCCCTTCTGTTCATCTCTGTCATTTTACCCTGAACCTTATCTCATCCTTTGCGAGAACAGGCAGAAAGCACAGGAATAGAGAAATCGATCTTTTCCAGGAATGGATCCTAATGTCATTATTTTTGGACGTGCACTCAAGGCGGCCAGTTTCCATGAGCCTGTCTCCAGTCACTATGGGGGCACTGAATCTGGCTTTCTCAACCTCAGCTCTGCTGCCTGCTAGGGGCCAGACATTCTCTGGTGCTGGGAGGGTGGGGAGCGGTGTCTTGTGTCTAGGAGGAACTTGTCTGGCCCTCTGGGTGACAGCTGTACCCTCCGAACACCATTGCAGACATTGCTCAGTTTCCCCTTGGGAGAGAAACTGCCCTGGCTGAACCTTGGCCTTGATCTGCCTTCTTCGTTCTGTGCTGGCGGGAACTCCCTGGTGGCACCTCAGCACAAGCTCCTGGCCCTGTGGGGCACAGGCCTGCAGCTTTATGTGGCTCTGTGCTGGTGTATGTGTATGTCTGTGCTGTCCTCTGTGTGTGTGTGTGTATGTGCATGTGTGTGTGTTTGTATTTTCCCACCTCTTCATCAGTATGCGTCCCTGTGTGCTTTCCTGCATCTCTGTCAGTATGTGTGTAGCAAGGGGCAGGGGGCTTGTTGAGAATGAGCTTGTTGGCTTCCATTGGCTGCATAGACGGTAAGGCTGGCTGGTGGTGGCACCCTGGCCCCAGAAGCTTCTAAGAAGTAGCTCCCTATCAGAGCTCCCCTGGGCCAGGGCTACTTAAACTTCTTCCGAGGAATGCATGATGGGAGAGTGCTGCCAGAAACACCTCAGATTCTTACATGGTTGATTTTAAAAGAAGGGCTTTTTGTTTGGGGGCCACACCCAGCTCTTCTGGGGACTGCTTCCAGTGGCATTCAGGGACCCTTGAACCAAAGATCAAACCGAGTCTCACATACTCAAGGCAAGTGCCCTACCACTGAGCCACATCCCCAGCCCTTGAAAAATGATTGGTCATTGCACATTCAGAAACCTTTTATTGCTGCCAAGTTTGTCATTCCTGTCCCCCATAATGATGCAAACATAACCTCTAATGGGGCCATTACCGACGGTTGAAGAGGCTAAACCTAGCCAGAGGTTCCCAGACTTACTTGCATACCACTCCTTTCAAGAAACAAACCAAAAACAACGACTCAATACCTTTGGCTTCAGGCAAATAAACAGGTGTCTGGAGAGATAGTTCAGTGGGCAAAGCACTTGTGTTGCATGCAGCTGACCCAGACTTGATCTCCAGTAACCCATGTCCCATCAGGAATGATCCCTGAGCGCAGAGCCAAAAGTAAGCCCTGAGCACCCAGGGTGTGTCCCCAAACCAAAACTAAAAAGTGAACAAATAGAAAGCACCCCTCAGTTGCATCTGAGGTTGCTACCACTACTCAGATCATTCCTGAATGCACTCCACATGCGGGCATGGACTGTCACTCATTTTGGAAAATGCTGCTCCAGGTTCACTGGTGGAAGCAAGCATTTAAGTTCCTAGAGCCCTTTTCTGGTCCTGAACACATCACTAGACTCCTAGATAAAGGCCCCAGACACTTTTAATGTAAAGTGATCATTTGTCTCCCCTTGCCGGGGCTAAGAGATAGTATAGAGGTCAGGACCTTGCCTTGCATATAGCTGACCCCGATATGATCCCTGGCATTGTATATGGTCCCCACCATACACAGGTACCACCACAAGTGAGCCCTGAGTATAGAACTAGGCATCAGACCCTGAGCACCACCCGATGTCAACCCAGCTTCCTCTCAACGCCTCCCCACCCCCAAGATTCTGTATCCACTCATTCATTCATTCATTCTTTTTTCAACTACTCATGCCAGTTCAGGGGTGTAGTGGCCGGAGCCCGTCCTGGCCACCGAGGGTGTCCTTCCATCCCTGCTACTGCAACGCCACCATGCTACCTCCTCCTCAGACAGTTGAGATAGGTCAGTGGGCCCATGGCCCCAGTGCTGTGGCTTGGGAGGAAGCCGGAGTTCCCAGAGAAAACCAATCTGACCGGGTGAGGGCGTGCAAGTCCGCACACAGTGACCCGGACTGGGAGTCAGGCTTCCTCCCTCACCCCCTTATCAACGTCATGGTGAAACATTGAACAAAACAACATTTATTTGTGGCCCTGTGGTATTGGGTGAACTTTGTCTGACCCTCTGAAGTCGGGGCACAGACTACCCTCCCTCCTGTAGCCTCCTTCCTTGCTGAGGGTGTCTCCTCCTGCTGAGGGTGCCCTGCCACCCGGGTGTCCCTGATTTCCGCACTTTTTTCTGCAGCAGGCGGTAGTACGCATGGCTCCCTCTGCTCTGGCCTCTGTCTGCCCTGCCTCTTTGGCAACCATCCCTGCTTTCCAGGATTCCCTATTCCCACTCAGTGGGCCCCCCCATCACCCATGTGTGATGCTGGAGCATGGTAGGGGGTGGTGCTGGTTTCAGTCTTCTCTGGGAGAAAGAGAGAGAGAAATGAGGATCGTAGTGACTTGTAGACCTTGGAACCTTTGGGAACTTTCACGTATGTAAATCAGTAGCCTTGGAAGCTTAATAGTAGATGTTGAAGCCCTTTGTTGTTTGGTTTTCGTTTTGGGGTCACACCCGGGGTGTTGATCCGATACTTCTGGATCTGCATTCTGGAGTCACTAGTGGCGGGCTCAGGAGACCTTTGGGATGCCAGGGATCGACCCCAGGTGGACCATGTACAAGGTGAATGCCTTCCCCACTGTACGTAGGAGCTCCAGCTCCTAAGTCCTTTTTTGTTTTTGAGGAGCACCAAAAGCTTTTGAGACTCAGATGCAGGACAGCCTAATCCTCGTTGCCTTCCGGTGCAGGAAGACTAACTAACCGGAAAAGTGTTTTCAGGCTCAGTCATCGGGACTTCAAACCTGTGTCGGGCACTCAGCTGCTGCCCAGCTCACAGGAGGAAATGATTGTCTTTGAACACACTTCCTGCCCCTTAAAAAAAGAAAAGCAGGGAAAAATCCACCACCTCCCAGGGAAGTGGAAAATGGGGCCTGTGAGTGTGGAGTGAGGGTGTCCTGAGTTCTCAGCAGAACCGGCCTCCCCCCTCCCTAAAACACCTCCCCGCAGGCTCTTCTGGGCAAGGGGTGTGGGGGGAGTTAGTGAGGCACAGCTGAGCAGGAAAGGGTGCGTCTGCTCAGAAATAGCGGGACTTCCTGGCCATCTGCATCTGCCCCCATAGCCAGTGACGGGGGTGCAGAGAATGTGTGACTCGTGCTTGGGGCGTGTCCCGGGTGGTGGCACCCACCGTGTGACTCTTTCTCTCTCTGCAGTTGGAGGCTGGCAGTGATGAAGACCGCAGGCTCAACCTCAGGTAAGCCAACTGTTCGTCTCCGTTTTGATGTCTGTCTTCCAGGTCAGGGGAGGTGGCCATGTTGTGATGGCAGGAAAGTGAATATGCCCCAGCAGGCACTGGGTTTGATCCTCAGCATTGCAAGGGGGAAAAAAAAATCAAACTGGCTTAGAAATAGTCCCATTCTTTTCTCAAAGGGAGAGAAAAAATACACCCATTTTTGGTGTATTTTTGTAGTGCGTTTAAAAACTGTCCAGAGTGTACAGAAGGGGTGCTTTGAAAAGTATAGCTAGGGTTTGGGCAGATGGCTCAAGTGGTAGGCCATGTGCCTGGAGCATGCAGGACAGGGTTCAGTCCCAGGTATGGCATGTTCAAGCCCTCCCAAGCTCGGCAAGACGCAGCCTTGCTGGTCCCCCGGCTTGACCAGCCTGACTTTGGAGGGGGACGTAAGTGCTGCCAGGAGGGGCCCTTTTAAAACAAATAGATAAGTGTATTGAGCGCTTACCTGTTTGTATTAGTGTATTAGCGCTGAGTGATAGATAGTTCAGTGGGGTTGGACACTTGACTTGTGTGTGTCCTACCCAGGTTGTATCCCTGGCATCCCATATGGTTCCCCAAGTACCACGAGGAGTGATTTCTGAGCACAGAGCTAGGAGTGACCTCTGAGCATTGCTGGGTGTGACCCGCCCTCCCAAACACACACACACACACACACACACACACACACACACACACAAAATAGATAAGTATAAATGACCATCTCTATTAGCACTGTCTAACATTTACTAAAGAAGTGAAATGATTGTCATTATCCTGCCATCTTCCGTTTACCAGAATGAGCATCTCAGTGCTTCCAGATTTTATGGTTCAATACACGGGCCTGGAGATGATGGTGCTGCTCAAGCCCAGCCATGTTGGGGGCTGCAAGGTCATACCCAGCAGTGCTTGGGAGGAGGGGTGGTGGTGGAGGGGGTGTCATATGATGCATAGGATCAAATCTGTGATCCATGCATGCCAAGTATGTACCCTGCCCTGGCCCTTCTGCAACACCCCCCTTCTTTTGTTTCTTTTTTCTTTTTGGGTCACACCCAGAGGTGGTGCACAGAGGTTACTCCTAGCTCTGCACTCAGAAATCACCCCTGGCAGTGCTCAGGGGACCATATGGGATGCTAGGAATTGAACCCGGGTTGGCCGCGTGCAAGGCAAACACCCTATCCGCTGTGCTATTGCTCCAGCCCCAACCCCCCCCTTCTTTTAAATTTTATTTTGTTCTTTTAAGAAAAAAGATCCGTGTAGTAGACTCTCACCGATCCTGTTTTCAGAAAGAGATTCCTTTTGCGGTAAACACGTTGCTGATGTGAAACATTCGTGATGTGTGGGTTTATTAATTCAAGGTGGTTTTTTTTTTGTTTTGGTTTGGTTTGGTATGTGATTGTGAGAATTCTTCAGCCATGTGCATTGAAAAAATTCCCTAAGCTGTAATCCTCAGTTGCTATCTTCATTAATAGATGCAAAAAAGCATTTTTTCTTTGCCAAAAAATATGAAGGTCTTCCCTCTGGGTATTTTGTTGGTTCGCTTAGCACTTTATTATATAATGTAATCCTTAGCATCAGGAAACCAGTCTGACCCCCTGACTCTCAGTGTTCAGAAAAGTAAACGGTTTCAAGGATGAAGCTGTTTTATCTTGTGAGGAGGAAGGGAATTAATTGGAAAAGAACATTTGTGACCAGAGACGGGTCAGCTCTTCCCCACTGAGATGCAGGCCATGGTGGAAATATGCTGAGCTCATCTTTGAAGCCTCTGGAGCCAAGGATGGGAAACGTTCACGGTGACACATTGCTTCTAAAGATGGTGTGTGCGCTCCCGGTGGGGAATAGCCTGCAAGAAATCAAAGACTCGCGCTTCCCGGCGGCACGACCCTGGTAGTTCTGGGAAGGACCGCGGGCACGTGGCGTTGCTCTGTGACTGGGTGTTTGTGCCCAGGGTCAGGACTCAGGAGAGGAACCGGCGGCACTCCCTGCTGGGGGCAGTAAGAGGCCCCGCTGCTGATCCAACTGGAGTGGCCTGGCTCTGCTCTGCAGGGGGCCAGGAAGCAGGGGCAGGGCTGGAAGTGGCTGTTGGGGGAGGAGATGAGGGAGCTGCCCCTGTGGAGTGCCACTGTCTGGAGACTCTATCCTGAGTTCTCCCCACCCTTCCCCTACTCCTGAACCCTGCCACCACCCCCTTTATTTCAGGCCTCTTGACTGTGAGCTCGCCTGCTTCACTGGACTTTGGGGCCAGGGTGTATTGTTGTTAATTGCCCATAATTAGCTGACTGCACCGTCTTTCAGAGTGGTTCAAGGCTTGGAAATAGCTGTGATAGGAAAGTGCGCTTGTGCCCCAGTGGCCAGAATCAGACCCCTTCCCTGCAGTTCAGTGCTCCCTCTTGCTGTGTTTCACCCTCACCCCAGCCCAGAGAGGTGGGGGTCTCCCCAGGTGGCACCTCGTTGTCCCTTCTTCCTCTGGAGGTCCTGGGAACTCCCTTGCCTGAGTTGGTCATACAATTATGTGTCTGGAAAGGAGTACGGGTGAGAGGGTGTATATGCTTGCCCGGGGCCAGAACCCAAGGACCCCCATCCTGGTGCTATTGTCTCCCTGGTCATCAGACTCCCTATGGCACAGAGCTCCCTCAAAGCCCATGGGGGACCAGTGATGACTGGGAGGCCTCTGGGTCTGCCCTGTCAGATGTGCTACCAAACGCCTCATTCCTCACCCTTGGGTAGAGCACCCCCCGAGTGCCCTGTGGGCCAAATTAGCGTAGCTTCATGTCCTGCCTGGGCTCGGGTATGAAAGCTGTTCACATCCTTGCGTACACAGCATCTCCAGGCCAGGTCTGTGCTCTTGAAGTCTCTCATCAGGAGAAACTGGAGCTGGGGCTGGAGTGACAGCACAGCGAGTAGGGTGTTTGCCTTGTACACAGCCAACCCGGGTTCGATTCTCAGCATCCCATATGGTCCCCCGACCACCGCCAGGAGTTAATTTCTGGGTGCATGAGTCAGGAGTGACTCCTGTGACCCAAAAAGCAAAAAATAAATAAATAAATAAATAAATAAAACTCCCCACCAAATTAGGCTAAGCTGTGGCTCCCATGGTCCACGCACCAGGTGATACACAGAGATAACAAAAGGTCCCGTCAGCCAAAAAGATAAAATAAAGTGTAAAAAAAAAAAACCAACTGGAACAACCTGGCATTTCCTCTCATCTCAGGAGGATGGTCGGAGAGAGATTTCTCCTGGCTTCACACCCATCCTGGTGGCAAACACACTTGGTATCTGAGGGTTGATGGTCGGCAGTCAGTGTTCCCCTTGCCTCCCTCTGTCTGCCCTTGGTCCATAATCTCATCTTTCAGCTCATCCAGGATGTGTTGGGGCCCAGGGACAGCCTGGTCTGTGTCCCCCCTGCTCAATTTCTTCCCGGCCAGGTGCTCGTCCACCCCTGCTCCAGCTGGGGCCTGCCCACCCCTCCCATCCGTCCTCCTCCTCCCCCACTCCCCCGCCTCTCAATAATGCCACCTCTTCCACCCTCCTCAGCCACCTGTTGGTTCCCCATCAGTGTGATTCCCTGCTCCCTGCTCAGCCCCTTCTCTGAGCTTCTTTCCTCAGTGGGCCTGGGGCTTCCGGCCCATCAGTGACATGCCTCCTTGACATGCCTCCTTTCAAACAATGCCAGCCTGCTTGCTGTGCTGACTGCACTTGTCTCACCTGCACCTGCCTTACGTAGCCGCCCCTGCCTTACGTGGCAGCCCTTGCTTCGTGTGGCAGCCCCTGCACATCTGCCTCTTCCATCCATCCCCTGCCCCCCGACCACTGGCCCAACCCTCAGCCTTTGGCCTGCCCTGGCATTTCACCCATGTGAATCACATTAACGTTGAAGCTTGCAGTGAGCTTCATCTGTGGGGAAGCATGAGGTCAAGGAGTTTGGAATTCCTGAGTCTCACTTCCAGACTCGCATAAGCCCATGGATTTTCAGGCTTGCAGAGAAACCAGGTTCACTTGGGCTTAGAGGCCGGCCCTGATGATGAGTAGATGTGTTGCTAGTAGTGCTGGTTCCCAGCCGAGAGTTGGAGACTCTGGCCTGCAGCTGGCAGGTCCAGCTACGCTAGGCGCCTTGGTGGTTACTCTTCGAAGCCTCCCCAGCCACACCCTAGGGAGATGCATCTGGGAAGGTGCACTGGGGAGATTCTGGCTTGTAAGTCAGTTTCCCTGGCGACCTTCTGGGACAAGTCTCAGGCACGGATCCTCTCACACCCTGAAGGAAGCTGCCATGGGGTGTGTGTGTGTGTGTGTGTAGCCTTCCAGATCCCTGTGTACTCTCCTCTCCGTGTGCTATGTTCTGCCTGGTGTGTGTGTGTGTGTGTGTGTGTGTGTGTGTGTGTGTGTGTGTGTGTGTAGCCTTCCAGACCCCTGTGTACTCTCCTCTCCGTGTGCTGTGTTCTGTGCTGCCTGCCTGCAGCGCACTTATCTGAGTATGGGAATCAGTGAGCAGATGGCCCTGCTGGCAGCAGCCCCGGGCTACTTTGCCATCCTGGAGTGGCCTCAGCCTGGCATGAGAGTAGGTGGTAGTGTGCCAGCCGGCCCCGGAGAGAGAGAACACGGCTGTGTTGTCTCCAGAGGGTGGATCTGCACTGGATGCTTTTTTTCTTTTCCAAATCTGGCATTTAATTTCTAAGTCAAGGGCACAAGAATGTTCTCTAGGCCTTTCAATAATTTTGGAGCGGCAGGGTTTTGTCTGTTACGCTCTGAACCCCCTCCCACCCCAACCCTTCCTTCTGTGTTCCCTTCCCCTTGTGGTCTCCACCTGGAATTCCCCTGAGGCCCCCTTTTCTTGGGAACCCTCCATTTTTGTGCCTTCTGTTCCTCCCTCATAGACCTGGGCCGCGGCCATGCTCCGCAGAGCCCTCTGCCTGCACTCTCGTTCCCCTCACCTCCCTGACACTTCGTACCCTGCTCGAGAGTGTGTCTGCCCAGGTCCCTCCTGGAGG